CTCCCCCTCCCCCTGCCCTCTGCCCCTTGCTCTCCACGGACATGTGCTGACACCTTCCCACTCCCTCTGGCCTGTATGCTCAGGTCCATCCATTTCAGCTCCGCAATCGGTCCATGAGCCGCTTCCTCCGCCAACTGAAAGACCGCTCGCTCCTCAACCATGCCGCCACTCTCCTGACCGCTGGGTCGTTCATCTACTTCGCTTACAGCGCGGCGTTCTCGCGCCTTGGCTTCATCATTTCGGTGCGCCTGACACCTTCAGCCTGCGAAGTTCGGCGCCGCTGTTACAGTTGGGGGGGAAATGCTGACCCCCTTGCCCGCAGGCCAACGGCCCGTCGATGCTCCCCACCCTGAGGGACGGCGGTGACTGGTACATCGGGGACACCTTCTCCGCTCGGCGCCGCGTACGTCCGCCACCTTTGGTCTTCCTTCTGTGCCCCTGCCTCGCTGTTGCCGCGCATCCACTCATCCCACATCAACGTAGCAATACAAGCTCGGGGACTTTGTCGCCGTCATCTCGCCCTATGATAAGACTCGGCTCCTTTGTAAGCGCATCACCGGAATGGTACGCTGTCGGGCACTTTCGTTCTGCGAATGCATCTCCCACCCTCCTGGTGCCGCTCCCCCTTGCCTGCCCTCCTGACAAACACACTGTAGCCCGGGGATGTGGTGGTCCGGGATCCAGAGTATCTTGGCGCGGCCACGGTCACGGTTCGTCCATCCCCCTTCCCCTCTTACTCTTTCTCCCCCTCCTCTTCTTCCTCTCTCTCTCTCTCCCTCTCCCTCTCTCCCCCCCTCTCTCTCTTCTTCTTCCTCTCCCAACAACTTGTCCACTCGTACATCTGTCTCGACCACCCCCATCCAAGGCTAACTCCCCACCTTGCTAGATCCCGGAGGGGCACATTTGGGTGACCGGAGACAATGTCAACGCGTCGGTTGACTCGCGTTTCCTCGGCCCCATCCCCGAGACCCTCGTTTTCGGTATCATTCGGGCGCGGGTACGTGTTCTTTCCTCGATCACATCCCCGGCCCTCTCTCCGCCCGTCTCTCTATGCCTCCTCCTCCCCCTGCCTGCTCTCACACTCGATGCAGATCTTTCCTTTCAGCCGATTCCGCCTCTTCGGGGACCATATCAACGACGCGACGGCCATCCATCTTCAGACAGTGGGCCACACTCCCAGCACGTCTGGCAAGCTGATCCTCGACCCGGCCCAAACCGGCGCCATGCCGGCCCAAAATGATCGGTGGACCTTTCGCTGGTTCGGTGACAGCGACAAGTAAGCGCAGACACACTGAGCATGCTCAAGACCCCTTCCCCCTTGTGAGGCACATGCGTCCAAGGCCCCCCGGTCGGCTGGCCGATCGGGCTTGCTACTGGCCTACTCCCTCGTGTCCTGCTCGTATCTGCCTCCCCCCCCCCCCTCCCCTCTCCCTCCCTATCCTCCTTCCTAACTCTACAATAGATTGCCATTGCCCAAAGTGCATGCTTTTCCTTGGCAGGTTGATTTATTCCGGAATTCACCAACAAGAGGAGGGAGAAGTCCCCCTCTGTTGGTGATTGTGGATCTCATTGGTCCTTGGAGAAGAGGGAAAGCACACCAAGCACCCCCACCAGAACAATCTTCAAGTAGGGGTAATCGTGCAGGGCCAGCGTCAAGAGCCCAGCCTTGGGTAGTTGCCTGGGCGGCGAGTAGAGCACCATGGTAAGTCAGTGAGCCCCCTTGCAAGAAGCGCCGATGGGCAGGATGGCGAAAGGCAACCAAAATCGCACCCACGAACCACGCCGACAATGTCGCCGGCATCGCGCTCCGAAGCACCCATGTTCAAAACCACGTCCAGGCGACTGGGCGGGGCCACTCCCGGCGGCGATGAGGCGGGTGCCTTGCTGGGCGCCCAGTGGGCCTTGAGCAGCGGCGCGGCAAAGGTCGACGCGTCAATCCACTCGACCCCCTTGCCATAGAGGGCGCGGTCGTCCACGCGATTGTTGTCGCCCTTGGTAAGGACCTTGGTCCGACCGGTATCGCTTCAGAAGGCAAAGGGCACCCCCCGGAAGTAGGCGGGTTAGCTCATTCGAGAGAGAGAGAGAGAGGCGGTGCAGGTGGCGATGAGATGGCTAGCAACTGGGCGCTCGGGCGCACCGGTCGACATGCACGCGCAGGACACGATGGACGATCGGGATGTTGCTAACCGGTGGTCCGCCGGGGTAGGACTTTTCGGAGAAGACCACAACATCACCCACGCGCAGGGGGTTTTTCTGAGAAGGAGACGACAGGAAGAGAAGGTCCCCACGGGCGAAAGCCGGCTCCATGGAGCCACTATACCCATTTCCGGGATGCGATCAAGAAAGGGGGCTCGGTGTCAGGGGCACGATTGGCGGAGTCCGGCACAGGGACGGCTGCACGCACCTGAGCACGACGACAATCGGACTATCCGTGCTACAGAGCAAGGACAGCCCCTTCCAGAGGGTGAGCGCAGCGGCCACGACATACAGCAAGTTCAAGCCCTGAGCAAGGGTCTGTCGGTAGGGCGAGCGTGACATCGGGCCGAGAGAGAGGGAGAGAGGAGCGGGGGGGG